CACACCCACCAGCCAATCAGGGCAAGTATGCAAATTAACCCAGCCAAGATGGTGGCTAATTTGCATACCCAGGCTAGAGTGAAGACTGTAGACAGTATAGAAAAGAACTTTGCTGAGAAGCAAGCAAGCAGGGCAGGGGAGAAGGCAGGAAAGCAGGCGGGGTGGGGAGAAGGGAGAGAAGCTGGCTGGGCAGCAGAGACTGCAACAGGAAGCCCTATTGCAGGAATCTTCCTGCAAGGGAGCATCTAGTTCATCCATAAAAAGAATAAAATCTTGTTCATCCATAAAAAGAATAAAATCTTCCAATTTGCTACAATATGGAAGAACTTGAGGACATTTGCTGAAGAAGACAGCAGGGCAAATATTGCATGATTCCATTTATATGAGTTATTTAAAATAGTCAAATTCATGGAAGTAGAAAGTACAATGTTGGTTGCTAGGGGCTGGGGAAAGGGAGAGATGGGAATTGCTGTGCAATGGGTACAAACTTTCAGTCATGCAAGATGAAAAAGTTCTAGATATCCATTGTACAATGTTATGCTTGAAGTTAACAATACTGTGCTCTGTTAAAAATTTGGTGAAGTTTGATCTCATTTTTTTTTTTACTACAATAAAAAAACTGAGTGCACCTCACAGTAGTAATCAAAGAAATGCAAATAAAAAATTACCACCTGTCAAATTAGTAAAGATTTTAAAATGCTGGTGATCCCTGAGGCAGGCTCTCCTACTTACTGCTAGTTACAGTATAAATTGGCAGGCACAAACGTTTTTAAAAATGCTTTGGAAATATGCATCAAAGGGTCTTAGAAATGCTTATACCCTTTGATGTAATAACGTTACTTGTAGGAATCTGCTCTCATGCAGTAATAACAAATGTAAATATGTTTATTATTTATAAGACCAAATATTAGAAATCTTCCAGACATTCCATAAGGGAATACTTAATAAATGTTGATAGATATGATGAAACAACAAAAATGTTATGAAGTCTTAGTGACAAGAGAAAACTGCTCAGAATATTAAGTGAAAAAATACAGGATAAAAAACTGTGAATGGTGGTTATAGACAGTTTTATCACTACTACATGAAGAATTTAAAATAAAAAAGTTTAAGAAAATACAAAAAATGTTATATGGGATTGTTTCTGGGTAATGAGATTATAGATATTTGAAATAAGTTTTTTTTTTAACTCCCACCCTTTACATTTTTCAAATTTCTGACAAAGAGCTCATATTATTCTCCCAATCAAGAAAAACAGGTATAATTTAAAAATGAAATGTGACCTAGGTTTCATGAAAAAGATGATCAGTTTGTCCAAAAATATATATTTTCACATATTGCAAGGCTAAATTACTCTTTAGTCTTTGCAAACATAAACAAACATCTAAGGTGGAATGAAGAGTGACCAAAAATTAGACTCTTCAGCCCAGAAATACTGAAAGGTATTTGATTGATTTTTTTTTAATATATGGCAAAATAAACATAAACTCTTTCACAAAACCTTTTAATTCTTACAAAGGGTAGACATAACAGGGAGAGAAATCAAGAGAATACCTTGCATTATTTATCTGTGCAGTAAACATATGCCCTCTCGTTGTCTAAGCAGCAGCAGAAACTCCCTCTGGGGTGCTGTGGGTGGGTAATCTGATTCAGGAGAGTGGTTTAGGGGAGGCAGAAATGGAATGGCAAGCAGAGAGGAAGAAAGGGGGTCTGCCCTGGCAGCCAGGTCAGCCAAACCCTCTCTGGCTTTCAGTGGGTTGGCAGATGGCACAGCCAGATTGTCCCACCAGCCTGGAGCTACTAACTAAAACAATTACATTCAAGAAGAGATAAATGTATGCTACAATCAGATTCCTAATATTAGCTGAGGATGATAAGGTGATATTATTATTGGCTTAAGTTGTGAGGGAAACAACTCTAGTCAGGGTTGGGCAGAGAAAGGTATAAGCTGGCATCTATAAGGACACAGAAACTGATTCTTTGAAAAAATCAAATTTATGTCCCACCACTCTGCTCTTCTTCCTGCCCTGGCATTTAATCTCAGATGAGATGTGTTCTTTTACCTTCACTTATATATGTTTCCTTGAAATCAAAGAAAGCAAATTTAGGGAATTTGGGTTGAATCTAGAAAATATAGATGATTTTGGTGGGCCATCGTGTGTAGATATATTTAAAAAAACAAACAAACAAAAAACCCCACAAATCACAAAACAAAAATCTTGACTAAGTTGGCAACAGTTAAAAATGAAGAGATTTGTCATAAAAAGAAAGATCTGGGGCTTTTTAAAAATTAAATTTAGCATTGGTGTGTTGATATTGTCATATGACAACAATTAGCTGGAGAGGGTGACATATGCCCCCTTTAGGTGGCATGGGCTCACTGATTTGCTGCAGTCCTCACTTAGCCCATTTGGATTCTCATTCTTGGCCCCTGCACACATTCCTGAGGTTTTCATGTCTCAGTGATTTACAAAACTGGTGCGCCACCCCTGAGCTGCCTCATATAAAAAGCTTCCTCTGATACAAAAGTCATTCAAAGCAACCCTTTCGGTAAGTAACTCTGATAAAGACACTATGAATGAGCTCGCTCAAAGATATGCTGGGAAAGTAGAAAGAATACTCCTCTGGAAGTCAGGGGAGCCATGGACAGACAGTAGAATAAAGGGCCTTAAAAGACTAGGACATCTTATGGGAAACTCGCAGCCTAGTGTTTGGAACTTAGTAGGAGGTTAATAAATATTTGTTTCCATCCTCCTAAGAGCAGATGCAGAGCACAGCGAGGAGGAAATGGAGCCAAAATAGTGTAATGCAATGCACAAAAGCACAGCATGCCAAGAGCGAAGGAGGGAAGAAGTAATTGTAACCCAGAGAGCAGTAGAAGCAACAGAACAAGCCTAGAGAAGTTAGAATGACAGAGCCAGGTACTGTAATAATGGGGACTGCATGACTGTGACATGATTCTGACAGATCTTTGCTAGCCACACACCCATATGGTAAGCAGGAGCACAGAGGAGATAGATGAAAACGGCACCAAGCAAACAGAAAACCAGACAAATTCACACTAAGACGCTGGTCACGGGAAAGAATTCAACCCTTTAATGAAAGATTGTTGATGAAAACTATAACCATATGTCTAAAAATACAGAGAATAGGTACATTTTGCAGAATATTATGTTTAGTTGAAGAATAGAATTTCTATGCTTAGCTGAAATAAGTTGTTTAAAATCAGGTTTTGTATCGTTTTGGGCTTACCTTTGGTGAAGCTTTAGTTACTTTGGAATAATTTATTCTTAAAGCCTCAATTTAAAACAATGGTTACTAAGTGAAGTACAGTTTCCTGAAGCATCGGTGTCACTACAGTAATGACCTGTCAGAGAATGTTAGACAAAGGGTGTCGAATGCTGGATGGAAGGTTATAGATGCGATTCTTTTCTTCCCAGCTCTTTCTTAGGGTCACAGCCAACCAGTCACTGTTTATGCATAGAGTAGCTTTTGCAGTATTTATTTCTTTAAATATTTAATAGTCTTGAGAGACAGTGACTGGCAGTGCTATGTGGAGTTTCTAGCATGTTTTGAATGCTTAATAACTAGCAACAATAAAACCCTGCATGATGAAAACAGCAGCCAGTACACCTATTACACTCTAAAATGTTTTAAAGCCACAGAAAGAACTACCCTGTTTCCCCGAAAATAAGACAGTGTCTTATATTAATTTTTTTCTCCCAAAGTTGCGCCAGGTCTTATTTTCAGAAGATGTCTTATCTTTCCATGCTCTAGGTCTTATTTTCGGAGGATGTCTTATTTTCGGGGAAACACGGTATTAGAAAAGTATAAAAAGCAAACATAGTGCTTTGACTTCATAATAGCAATAAAGAAACATTTATAGTCACTAAAAAGTTCAAATTTCCTCTTAAATTCCTTAAGGAATCCAGGGAAAGCATGGGAAAAGTGGACAGAGCATGGACTTGAAAATAAAACAAAAACACAACAAACTTTTTTTTTTTTTTTGTACCATATGGAAACCTGCTATGGAGGAACCCATACAGCTACATCCTGTACAGTGTCGGGGTGCTCCAAGCGCCTTCAAATCTCCCTCCAATCCAGCACCCATTGGCAAAGCGCTCCCCCTTGGTAGACACCTTCGAGTTTTGAAGGAGTTTGGTTTGGGAAGAGGAAGCACGCGGGTGCGTGTGTGCGCGACACCCCCAGATGGAAGCCAGGACACAGTGACCCCGGGGAGACACGTGCCTTCGCGCCCCCAGAGGACGCTCTTTGTGACGTCCCGGCCGCGGACGCGGTTGCCTAGGAGCCCGGCCCGCCGCCTCCGGGAGCCCGCGTCGCCGGAACCGGCCGGGGACCCCGCAGAGCCGTAAGTTCGGGAGGGAAGCGCGGAGGGAAAAACAGAACTGCTCCTTTAAGAACTTCCTTTCCCTTTTACTCTCTGTTTACATAACACGGGGGCCGGCCCGCCGCGGGGCCCGGCGGGGGCGGCGGAGAGCGGGCGCGGGAGGCCCCACGCACCCGGGGCGGGAGCGCCGCGCGGGCCGGGGAAGCCGGTGCCGGCGGGGGCGGGGCGGCTCCCACCTGCCCGCGCGGCGGGGCGGCTCCGCGGCCCGGCCCCCGCCCCTCCCCCGCCGCTGCCCCCGCCCTCCGCCCTCGCGGCTCCCTCCCGCCCGCCCGCCCTCCTCCCTCCCGCGGGGCTCCGGCGGCGGCGCTCGGCGCGGCCAGGTCCCCCTGCCGCCCGGTCCCATTCGGTCCCATTCGTCGCCTGGTCTGGCTCGGGGCGGCCGCGGCTCGCGGAGCTCCCGGGCGCCCGGCGGGGCAGCCGCGCAGCCACGACGGAGCAGCCTCGGGACTGGCCGCCCCGCGCCCCGTTGGCCGCCGTGCCCTTCCCCGGCGCGCTCACCCCCTTCTCGGGATGGGATGGTAGCGGGGGCGCCGACTCGGCGGCGGGGATCGCGGCGGCGGAGGAGGCGGCCGCGGCGGCCGAGCGGGGCTCCATGTTTTCCCCCGGCCAGGAGGAGCACTGCGCCCCCGGCAAGGAGCCGGTGAAATACGGGGAGCTGGTGGTCCTGGGGTGAGTCCGGGCATCCCCGACCGGGGGGAGCCGGGGGCGGTTGGCGAGCGCTCCGGGCCGGCTGGGTGGCCGCCAGGCGCCCGCGTTCCCCGAGCGGGGCCGGTGTGGGGGGCTCGGGCGCGCTCTGGGGACCCCCGGGGGCGCTCTCCGGGGTCCTCGGGGGCTTTCTCCGGGGACCCCCCGGGGCGCTCTCCGGGGTCCTCGGGGGCACTCCCCGGGGACCCCCGGGCGCTGGGAGCGGCGGGAGCGGCTCGGAGGGCTGGGACGGCGGCCGCTGAGGCGGGAGCGGGGATGCGCTCTCCTCGCGGGGGACGGCGGCGGCGGGAGGGATGGGGGGAGCGAGGCCGTCCCGGGAGGCGGCGGCGGGGACCCGGGCGCCCCCACGCTCCGGGGGGCACGAAGCCAGAATCTGCGGTCGAACTGCGGGGCAGGAGCTCGACCTCCCCGAGCGCGCCGGGCCGCGGGGGTCGGTTGGGGCCGGGGCTGAACGGCCACCGTGTCGGGCTCTTCGCCGCGTCGCACTCGAGACCCCCCCCCCCCGCCCCGCCATTGGCGGAACGGGGAGGCCCGGAGGCCCGGCCCAGGTCCCGGGTCCCGCGCTCTGCGACCGGGCCCGGCTCGGCGCTGCCCGGGGCGGAGTGTGACGGTTGCGGTGCCCGCGGGCCGCCCCGCCGCGGGCAGTGAACTGTCTGTGACCCAGCGGCGGCGGCGGCGGCGGCGGGCGGGCCCGGGCTGTCCGCGCCGCGGCGGCCGGAGGGAGGGACGCGGCGGCCGGGCCGCACCCCCTCCGCCCCCCGCCCCGGCCGCGGCCGCGCCGAACTCCTCCGGGCGGCGGGGAGCTCGCCCGCCTCGCCCCCCTCTCCGCGGGTGGAAACCGCATAAGAAGACAGTGATTATCTGCCATCGTTAAACGGCCGCGATTAGAGACTTCAGCTACTTCCTGAGTTTCCTTGTGACATTTCTATTGTTTACCCCGAACCCGCCGGGAGGGAGGCTCAGCCCCGCGGAAGCCGGGTCCAGTGGGCAGTGCCAGGGGAGCGGGATGGAGACGGGGAAGGGGCCACTTGGGTTTAGTACCCGGGCAGGAAGGATTTTTATTTTATGTTCATTTTTCCTTTGGATGTGTCACTCACTCCCCGGGAACTCGCGCTTTTGTCCTGCTCCGTTGAAAGACCAGTATTCAGAACATCCTGGGTGTGATGAGCAGGCTTAGCACACATGTGAGAGAGACCAAGGGTATGGGAAAACTCAGAACCCTGACAAAAGTGTTTGATAACCGAGGAGCTTGAAGTAAGTGCCGACTGAAACATAATTGCAGAGAGAATTTTTAAGAGAAGCTTCCAGATACAGTAACAGCCCAAAGTTGCCTAGTCCTCCTCACTTTGGTTGCTACAGGTTTAAGTGCATTCTTATTGGAAATGTCTCTGCCTCTTTTGAAGCTGTGCGCAGGGAAGCGTTTTCTTTTCTTTTTTTTTCTCACCTGCATTCAATTGCACTCAAAAGACAGATGTTAGGGTTCCCTGGAAGGAGGGAGGGATGGCAGGGGAGGGTGGGGAGAGCCAGAGTTTAGCTTGTCTTATGTAACCTCCAGCCCAATCTAATTTTGTGGAGTTTGGTTTTGTTTCTGTGGCTGGCTTCAAAGTATGTTTAACATTGTGAACCTGACAGAAAAGATTAACTTATGCCAGAACTTTTATTTCATTATTTCCTTTTGAGGAAATCGTTGCTGAGATCTTTTGGAAAAGCAGTGTGTGAGTGGGCCTGGAGAGGTTTTGTGTTCATAGCTGGAAGTGCAAGGCATTTCAAAGCTCTGAAAAGGATTTATAACCTGGATTGTCCTGGTATCACAGGCTTATGCTAAAGTAGGCTCTCTAAATGCATGCATGGTCGATTGCCTGTGCTCAGTCCTTTACTGATGCTTTTCCAGGAGACCCTGAGTATGATATAATTGCCATTTAGCAGACACTCAGCAGTTATGTACGCACCTACTGTGTGCCAGCACTGTGCAGACGCTGAGGATTAGAGTGAACAAGGAGCTTTCATGATAGTGTGGTGTGGCAGGCATAAACAGGGAAAAAACCACACATGTAAACAAATGAATAATAAATGACAACTCAGGGGTTGCCAAATGGTCAACAGAAGTGGGTTAACTGCCGAAGCTGGTTAGGTCCAGGGTTCGATTCCGGTCAGGGGCATGTATCTTGGTTGTGGGCACATCCCCGGTAGGGGATGTGCAAGAGGCAGCTGGTCGATGTTTCTCTCTCATCGATGTTTCTAGCTCTCTATCCCTTTCTCTCTGTTAAAAATCAATAAAATATATTAAAAAAAAAAGAAAAGAAAAGAAAAAGAAGTGGGTTAACTTAGGAAATGTCTGCTCTAGGCAGGTACTGCATTCTTTAGCTAGGAGGTCAGGGCAGGTCTCTGAGGAAGTGAACTGTGAGTTGAGACCAGACTGCTAAGAAGATGCTAGTTTGGTTTTTGAATACTTGAAGAGAATTGTGGTCTTTTCTTTTGTGAGAGTAGGTTTGTGACTCTAGCAGCATTGAACACATTGAAGAATGCTGGGCGGGGAACCATGGGTAAGAGTTTTAAAAGACCCTTAGGACTTGAAACAGTGCCTTCCCTCTTAAAACAAAAACAGTCAAATAAACATTAGTATCGCCAAAACCGGTTTGGCTCAGTGGTGGAGCGTCAGTCTGCGGACTGAAGGGTCCCAGGTTCGATTCCGGTCAAGGGCATGTACGGAGTTGCGGGCACATCCCCAGTGGGGGGTGTGCAAGAGGTAGCTGGTCAATGTTTCTCTCTCATCGATGTTTCTAGCTCTCTATATCTCTCCCTTCCTCTCTGTAAAAAATCAATGAAAGATATTTAAAAAACAAACAAACATTAGTATCAACTTTGCATGCCTGAGCAGCTAGGACATACATACTGGTAAATAGAGAATTTCTAGTAGATTTTCTTATTGATAACATTTACCTTGAAATCCCCAAATGCTCAATATTGATAGAAGCTTTTGCTTATAACATGCAGTACCTTCTTTTTGGAAACTGTTGTGGGACACTCCTTTTTTTGTTCTCTTCTAAATTTCATAGTAAAATGTCACTGAGAAATCCTGGAGTGCAGACTGAGGAATTGTATATGTCTATGCAGTGTGTGTGTGTGTGTGTGTGTGTATCTGTGAGGAGCTATATTATGTATATGTCTGTGTCCATGTAGAAATAGTTCTATATCTTTTCATGAGTACACAATATTAAGGGAATTTCCAGGTAGGTAGGATTTTAGTATAGTCATCACTTTCTTGGCAGGTAAATGGAATTGACTTATTTCATGACTCCAACCAGTAAATGTATCATAGTCACAACTCTTTGTTGTGTCCATGATGGAATTAGAGGTAGAGAAAATGATTGGTTTGTCATTGGTTTAAACCAAACTACGCTGTGACAGTTGGGGAAATGTGTCAGAATTTGAGAGGCAGTTCAGTGTATTGGGAAGAACATCTAGGAGACCTAGGTTTTATAACTCCATTCTTGCAGAACGATTTTGTGATTTTGGCTTAGCCCCCCACTTTGTCTCTGTTTCTCTGGGGCACTAATGACAAATGATCAAGATCAATGGCCTTCCTGGTCTGTAACCTGTAATATTGTTTATTGTCTGAAAAGTGGAAAATGTGTAATTAAAATATTCTGGATAACTGGGCTTGTGTTGATTCTGTATATTTGTGAGCTGACGGTGCTAGAATTTGAATGGGAACTTCCTTTAAAAAGTAGAAAAGACCATTTTTTTTTTTTTTTTTTAAGTTGTAGTGGTATACATACCAAGTATATATGGCTCATTGGTGCTAGTTTATACACAAGGGCATTTAAATTTTGTAAAATTTTCTGTTCCATGTTTACGAAAGGCATTGATGTTTTGAAATTAAGTAAGCTGAAATAGCTAGAATAAGGAAGAGACTACCTGATAGAATTTTAAAACTGGAAGGAGCCTAAGAAATCATGATACATGTTCATCCCTTTTATTTTGCTGACAGAGAAACTGAGGCTCTAGGAAGAAAGATTTTTTTCAAGTTCATAGCTGAGCATGGGCACTACACTGCCAGGTCACTTCAGTTCTGTCAGTTCCTCAGAGTTTCAGGGTTTTATTGTAAATTGCACATGGGGAACTGAATTCCTATTGAATTCAGCTTGAAGCATATATGCTCTTGCTGACTAATGGCCCTTCCTGGTTTTTGGGAAAATGTTGCTTGTACTTTTAGTTTTCTAACCTCACAGTTGAATGAATAGTGTATTTTTGCAGGGCTTTACTTTTCATTTAATGCTTCACAAATGTATTTTTATTGGCTCTTTCAACCGAGGGTTTTTAACTTAGGGTCCACAGATGCAATCCAGGGAGTCCTTGAACATGAATGGGGGAAAATGGCACCTCTGTTTTCACTATAACTCAAACTGAAATTTAGCATTTCACTAAATTACGGGAATAGGCAACAAACAGGCTTGCTGCTAGATTTGTAACTTACTGCATTGATACAGAGTACATATACTATTTTACCACAATTTAAAACTATCTTGATAACTGAATATAATAGACTTCACTTGTTATCCTTTGTATTTTACTTTATGCTTTTAAAAACATTTTTCTTAGAAAGGCTCAGCAGATTTTACCAGACTGCCAATGGGATCCTTGGCAAAAAAAAAAAAAAAAAAAAAAAAAAAGGGTTAAAAACCTCTACAAATGAGGGCTTATAAATATGACAGAAAATGAATTTTAGTAGAAACTGACCAAGGCCCGCATAAAAGTCAGGGAGTACCTGCCTTTTTTCCTTTGGATGGTGCAGCATCCTATCAGAGGAGACAAAGAGGACTGTCGCTTGAAGAGTTTATGGTCTTCACTTCTTTTAATAAGCAGCTCCTGATTTCTAGGAGCTGGTTTTGTTTTAACCTTGGCACTTTGCTTTGACTCCCCCTTCCCTTGGAGTAATAAGAAACCTTAAAATATTCTCTAAC